AATAATATCATTGTGTTTAAGAATGTCCATTGATTCACGTGAAAAGCACTGGTTTATCAAGTGGGAGGCTTCCAAAACATTGACCTCACTCTCTTTTCCATTCCTAATGTATCACTGCTTGGTGGTGGGGGGGGGCGCAGTATGGATTACCAGGGGGCCCGCTAAAAGTAAGGTTGCCTACCTGGAATCATCGGATAGGCGTTGATAGCAGCGGATGACGTGTTTTAGGAGACGCAGAGACTGCTCCTTGGCAAGTTGTGACACCATCTTGCTGAGGACCGCCGCTACATGCGCAAAACGTTCGTAGGTCTGGCATATATAGGCCAATCCCACGTCGTCCTGCAGAAGCTTCTGCATGATGAAAGTTGCCACCTGGGAAAGGTAGGGAAAACGCATTTGAAGATAACAGGTCCAGTGCAGTAGGTCAGAGGAAGCGAAACATAATATTCTGATGGCGGCACCCATCCTGCCTGCGGACAAGATCATACGGCTCCCCACCGCCCCGGGAGACAGGTTAGCCGAGCAATCGAAGAGGCAACTAGAAAAGTAATTTTCTGCTTATTCGCCATCGTTGGCCAGCTACGTTTTTAGCCTTCAGCGATGAGATTTTAAGGGTAGGGTTTGCTTGTCAGGCGGCTTTTGTCTGTGATGAGTAATAATAAAAGCTACTTCCACATTTTCACTAGGTCGAATTTCTACCTATTCAAAATTTTGTAGAGTACGTTAACCAATAGGAGTTGCTGTAATACTTTTATTGGTGTATAGGCTCCATTTTCAGTCTTTTTTGCACTTTTCGTAACCTCTTCACCTACATCTTAAGTTTAGTAAAACAATTACAAGCGGCTTTAGGTTCCTTCTTATTGCGCAGTTATCACGCACCTTTATAGCCTCTGGTTTGCTCCACCCTTTAATACCCCTTTATCCACGAATTCTGTAAACTTTTACCATAAGGCGGCCTTACCGAATATTCATAACAGCAGACGAGTAAGCGTAAGCCCACGAGCCAAAGGATATAGCGCCTAGCTCCAACCGCATGGCAAAACGAAATACGGGCAGTTTTGTTTGGCTTATTAAGTCAGCGGTCTAAACTAACGACGACAAACAAATTAAGGAAGGGTGCTATCAGATTCAGCTTTCCGGATTGCCTATCACCTTTCACTGTGATATTCCATGCCAGAATTA